TAGGTTGAAACACCGCAAGCCTCCTATGCCATCTTGTCCGATCTTGCGAAGCGACACTGGTGGACGCTAGATCGACGCCAAATCGACGCCAGCCAGCGCTGAATCGCAAACGAAGGAATTACGACGGTATGCAAGGCTCCCATGCTCTGCTGCGGAGGACAGCCCCGTTTTTCTGCGTCGCATCCTTGGATCGGCGCGGGGGGGTTGCTGAGGAGACAGGGATGTCATTAGAGTGAGTCCAGGTGGGCTGCACCTCGCCTGGAGCACACAAAGGTCTGGGGGGCCCTCGACGGCACAGGGGCAGTTAGCAATCTGGGCAAAGCGGGCTCCGCCCACTTAGCAGGGTTACCAAATCCACCCTGAGCCATTTGAGTCAATTGGAACCCACATAACAGCGGCAGTCGGAAGAAATAGGTAACAAAAACACCAAGTAGGAAGGTGGATAAGGTAGATTGGGTTCCGGCCCTCCCAGAGAATAACGAAACACAGCAAAAGCATATCAGTTCTTGAAGTAGGAAGGCGCTTGAAATAGATTGGGATCTGGGAATCCAAGCATACCTACTTCAAACGACAGGCATGTAAGCCAGGTTCGGCAAGATGTAGCCCACCTTCGCATCCACTGATGGGCCCCCTTTCCCTTTGGCAGCCCATGCGCCGGTCCGAACAGCCTGCCACCGATGGGGTCGTGGAACGCCGGCGGGGGGCCATGCACGCGAGGCGAAGACAAACGCGCGTCTTTCGCACACGCTTTGGTCCCGCGGTCGCAAGTTTGGGGCCCTCTGCATCCCTGCGTCCTGCCCCCCTGCCCCCCCCCCCCCTCCGTTGCCGTCCGCAGTAGCCGACCGCGCTCCCCTCCTCCGTGCTCTGCCGACGGGCGGGGCGGGGCTGCTTCGCCGTCCCGCGCCACAGCCTAAAGTTGAAATCCTAATTTCATTCACTCTAGTCAAGGGGACGTAAGACCTGGGTACAAGGGACTCGGACATCCCCGGCGAGGTCGTCAAAAAAATGACGAGGCCGAGCCTGCATTTTGACGAGGCCTCCCGCTGCAAACATCCCACGAAACTCCTCCTCGTCAAAATCCGAGGCGCGGTCGTCAAAAAACGATGGCGAACCCGAGTCCTGGCAAACCCGGGTCTTACGCTCCCCCGATCTATGACCGAAGCCGCGCACATTGGGGACGGCCGTTCGACCGTCGGGATGGGCCCGCACGGCGGGAGCCGACTACAGAGCCGCAGTCGGCGTGCATACGCCGGCGGTGCACAAACTGCGAGCGCCGACTCGAGAGGCTGCTGGCAAGGCTCGTTTCTCATCCTCGGGCGGCTCAGATTCTGGAAGGGCCACGACTTTGGAAAGATAGCTTTTTGAGCAGGGATCGGGGATCTTCCGACCCGGGTCAATCCAGACCCGGGTCAGCCAGCCGTTGCACAATCCTGCAAGGTCCTGCACCCAGACCCGGGTCAGTGCGAAGGATCCTGCAGGACCCTGCACCCAAACCTGGGTCAGTGCGACCCTGGCCCTGCAGGATCCTGCAAGATCGGGCGCTCTGGCTGACCCCCGTTTGCATTGACACCCGTCTCAAGGCTCCCAAAGTGGCCCTCGTGAGGCAACACCGGCTCTGCTGGTCCAACTTGCCCGAGGTCCTCTTGAAGCCCTCCTGGGGGCCCCAGGCCGTCCTCGGGCACTCCTGGGCACCTCGGGCCCTCGTAGACGGCTTCCGGGGCTGTCCTGGGCAGTCCATGCCCCCCTTCCCCCACTGACTCTCCTGCGCAGCTGCGCTGTTCAGCTCGGAGCCCTTCGTTTTGGGAGTGGTGGCCGTCGTCGCTCGTCCCCTCCCCTGCCTCACCCCTGGCCCTGCATGGCCCCAGCCCCGTTGCTTCACCTGGCCCCAGAACCTTTCGCTGCGGTGGTCGGCATCGCTCGTCATCTCTCCCCTGGCCTCCCCCTGGCACAGGCCCCAGCTTCCTCTCTCCCCCTGGACCAGGCGCCCTCAATTCTCGTTCTGTCGGTCGTCGCTCGTCGTCGCTCGTCCTCCCTCCCCTGGCCTGGGCCCCTGGCCATGGCCTGTGGCCCAGGAGCCTCTCCTTGTCGCTGTGGCCAGCCCCCGACCCTGGCCCCAGCCCCCAGCTCTCCCACCTGGCCCTGGAGCTCCCTCTGCTCTTGGTGGCGGTGGCCGTCGTTCGTCCTGGGTCTACCCCTGACCCTGGCCCAGCCCCCTGGTCACATCTCCTGGCCCCGGAGCCCATTCTTTTCGTTGTGGTGACTAGGGCCGTAGGTGGAGTTCCTTCTCGGGGTGCGCGACGAGTTTGGGGTGTGCCGAAATGAGCGTGGGGCGGCATGCGTGGCGCCCACAGGGGCCGTAGGTGGAGCTCCCTACGGGAGGCGGACCGTGTGAGGGGAATGCCGAAAGGGGCGAGGTGCGGCGTACGTGGGCGCCCACTGGGGCCGAAGGTGGAGTTCCCTATGGGGCACGATCTGCATAAGGGGTCTGTCGAAACTTGCGTGTCGCGGCATGCGGCCGCACCATGCGACCAGCATGCGCGGCACGTGGACTGACCCCGTGAGGCCGCAGATGGAGCTCCTGTGTGGCACGCTCCGCGTGAGAGGTGTCCCGAAAAAGGCGCGCCGCGGCATGTGGACTTTGCCGTCGGGCCCGTACAAAGATCCACCTATGGGGCACGATCTGGGTACCGTAAAGAGCGAGCTGCGGCATGCGGATCTTTGCCACTGGTGCCGTATGTGGATCTCGTTCTAAGATACGATCCGCGTGAGGTGTACCGCAAAACAGGGCTGAAACTAAACGTTATGTTTCGTTGTGTGTTCAATTTGTTGTTCGTTTCGCTCTACCTGTTTTCCTGTACCTCCCTGCGAAAACGAAACACAAAGCACAGCCAAAGTTCAGCAAAAGAGCGTTTAGGTCCAACCCTGCCGCAGTGGACGCGCCGCGGCATGCGGGTGTTACCAATGTGGACGTCGGTGGAGCTCCGTATGGAGCACGGCCCGCGTGAGGGGAGTGTCCCCAATTGGAGCGCCACCACTGGGCCATACATGGATCTCCCGATGTGCTGTGCATGGGACGAGCTCCGCGTGAGAGGTGTGCCGCAATTGGGCGTGCCGCGGCATGCGGATGTTGCCGATGGGGACGTCGGTGGAGCTCCGTATGGGACACGACAAGCGCGAGGGGAAAGCCCAGATAGGCGCGCCGCTACTGGGTCCGTAGGCTTAGGTCGGGCATGTCCTCCTACAGGCGGATTTTGACAGATACATGAAGAACAGTGAAAACAAAAATCCGAAATGGACAACAATAATCGAAACATCGTCCCCAGACTATGTTTTGACTATTTTCGAATATTCCTCCTGTGGAGGGACATGCCCGACTTGATCGTCGGCGGAGCTCCCCACGGGGCAGGATCCGCCAGGAGGGGAGGGCCGAGGAACTGGGCGCGCCGCGGCATGCGGTCTCTGTGCGGCTCCGGGCCCGCCAGTGGCGCCCCGTGGGGGACACGATTCGCGAGGCGGATTATCCAAAGAATGGGCGTGGGGCAGGAGGAGGGAGGGGGAGGAGGGCAAGCCGGGTGTGCACGCCTCACATCTGACGTCCTACCCCTCCCTCCCATCCCTTAGCATTGCGTAGATCCCCTCTCTATTCGCACAGCCAGATGTCATAGCATGGCATCGCATTACATGACATAGTATGGTGTTGAAGATTAACGCGTAGCATGGCATAGCAGGGAGAGGGGGGGGCGGGAAAGAAGATCGGGGCGGCGCTGCATAGTCCAAAGCGGGGGGCCAACACCGCATGAGGGTTGGAGCAAGCGATGTGCCGACAGTGGGACAGTGTTTCTTTTACAATTCTGGCTGGGGGGCAACACGTATTCATAGTCTTACATTCCCCCCACGGTCGAATTTCTGACATGCGAAACGCACGGAATAACGCACTGGCATGCGCGCCGATCAGAACAATTCATTTGGATGTTCTCGGCAATGAAACAGCGCGCGAAGACTACCGCTACCCATCAGCAGCTAAGAAGGTGTACAGAGGACATGACAGCAATTGTGCGAAAGTTGGTGCCCACGTCAAGTAGACAGAGAGGACTCGAGGGGAAACATGTGAGTAGAGGACAAACATGCTGCATAAACACAAACTGACGGAGCGCCGCGAGGATTTCTTGGATCGGCGCTGACACCCCCCCCCCCTTGGCGCGCGGAGCGTGCCAGGGGCAGCGCCAGAGGCGCCGCGAGGAGGTCTGGCGCCGCTCCAAAAAATTCTCGTGGTGCTCCGACTGCTCATGTGCATACGATGACAGTGACTTTGCTTCGGATGATGAGCAGTCGCGCGCCTCCAGAAAAAATCCCAACTGGGACGGTAAGTATTGATAAAAAAGAGCCGCTCCACGCGTCGCGGCCGCTGGTTGAAAATCATCTAGAAGTAGGTGTCAGTGAACCCCAGGCATGTACTATATTTGCCTTCGCGGGCCCCACAAATGGAGGCCGCTCAAACGGTCTGCAGAGAGCCTGGGTGTCAGCAGAATATCAATGATCACTTTGATCGTACAGGCAACCTCACGTGAACCCAACCTCTGCAGGTCGGTTTCCTGAAAGCTTGGCGGCGGGTCATGCTTCGAGAGATGCCTGTAGCCAGGTGAACACTAACTGATGGGCCTGTTTTCCACCACCAAGGGGGGAAGGAGGTGGAAGAAGAGGTGGAGGAAGAAGAGGAGGAAGGAGGTGGAGGAAGAAGAGGAGGAAGAAGAGGAGGAAGATAAGCTGGAGGGGGGAAGGAGGTGGAGGAAGAGGAGGAGGAAGAAGATGACCCCCTCCCCCTCCTATTTCTGGTGGCGGCGATGGGACACAAAACACAAGCCGACCACTCGCGGAGGCGTCCGATGCCGCAGAGGCGACGGGATCCGCCGCAGGGATAGGGCCCGCGAGTGGTCGCAAACAACAGGCTGTCGGTTAAGCAGCGACCGACCGTCCCGGCATTCCTATAGTCCTACCACGAAATGTTCCTACAGCCCACATATGTTCTAAGAACAAAAACAATGTTCTTTGAACCTAAACCCGCCGATGTGATAAGACAAGAAGGTCCCAACCAGAAATGTTCTAAGAACATTCCGTGGAAACAACAAAAGGTTGTTAGAACATTATTTGGTGAGCCTATAGGCGAGCCAAGATGCTTCGCCACTGCTTGAGTCGGACGTCCGCGCTGATGTTTTGGACCGGCGATGACCCACCCCCTCCCTGGCGCGGGGAGCGAGCAAACCAGGGGCGGCGCGGCGCCGGAAACGCCGTATAGGGGAATCCCAACACCAACCCAAAAACTCCACACAGACCACCAAGGGTTGATGTTTGAGCAATTATTGATTCTTCTTCTTCTTCGAGAGGATCGCGCTACGTCGACGATGCATCGGCGAATCGCGATTGAGACGGTCAGCCTTGCAACAAGGGCCGACACAGGTTGTTTGCTTTAGGTGGAGCTCGACAGGGTTAACACACGTCGGGTTAACACGCGTCCTGAACATCATCGAATCAGGGTGTTGAGTCCGCCCCAGAATACCTGGGGGGGTACCTGTGCGCAACCTGAAGCCTCACCAATCCTCATCCCGGCACTGCCGGCTTGGATCAGGGCGGGTGTTGTCAAGGGGATACGGGGCTATCAATGGATGCCAAGGTTGGTTCTATCTGGCCTAGACTACCTTTCCAAGTTTCATGAGCGGCATGAGTTGGGTAGCAATTCGAGCTGGTAGGGCTCCGCCCACTTAGCGGAGTTATATAACCCCCTATGCCCCTTGGGGCACCTGTGAACCACTGATAACCTAAGTTAGGCTCGGTACGTAGCACCCCGCAAGTGCGGGTAAGAGTGATGGGGGCGGTTGCGGAATGGGTCGCGGGGGTGCGCACGGGGGAGACGACTCTGGAGATCAAAAACAAGACTCACAACAACAACAACAACAACAACAATTACTAGCACGTGGGGACACTCCGTTCTCACCAGTGCCAGGGTTTTCATAGGAGGCGGGCAATACCCCCACTTTGTGGGGGGGCCGGTTCAAGCTCTACCAAATTTCCAAACGACTCTTCGCCACCACCCACACCCAGCTTCCCGCCCTATGACGTTCGGACACTTCACTTCGTGGCATGCGGACGACCGTGGCTACTATTCAGGGCCCCGCGGCCGACGACGACGGCGTGCGCGCGCGAAGAAAAAACGAATGTGTCCCGCATGGTATTATTTGACAGGGATGATGGCCCTGGCAGGTGCGCAACCGTTGTCGCAGAAGTTCGAAAAAGTTGCTCGCAAAAGCCCGTTTGACAGAAATGTTTAAAAAGTGTTGGGTTTCCTACGAATCCGCAAGAGCGCGCGGGATGAGATTTTGACATTTTTTTGTTGAAAAACCATTGGTTTTTTGATGTTTTTATGTTAAAATCGCTCCGAACACTAAGCTTTTGGAAGGATTTCGTCTTGCGCGCGCGAATGTCCACTTTACCTTATTTTTTGCAAGGGATTCTTGAAATTTGATTATATTAGAACAAGAAATGTCATTTTATAGTGTTTTTTGCAAGGGAAAACGGATTACAACAAAACAACCGGATCTTGATCACCTCGAATTACCTGAGGCTTCCTCACGAAAATGATGAAAACGTGGCTGCGGCCTAGGCGCGGCGGGGGGGGCGCGCACCAGGGGGCCCAACAATAATTATTCTTTAGAATTAATAATGTTCAACAACAACAACAACAACAACAACAACAGCAGCAGCAGCAACAACAACAACAACAACAGCAGCAGCAACAGCACCAGCAGCAGCAGCAGCAGCAACAACAACAACAACAACAACACCAACAACACCACCAACAACAACAACAACAAAACAACCACAAAAACAATTATCCTGGCGAAGGACCCAACCATATGCAGTTGTGAGTACCGCAATTGGGAGTATCTTCTTCGGTAGCGCTCCCTATGGGGCCACGAACCGTATGAAGGTGTGCCGAATTGCGTGGCGAAGCCTCTTCAGGGGCTTCCCTGGGAACCCCGACGGCAGCGCCCGCGCGCCGCGACGCCCATGTCGGCACGCCCCACACGAGGATCGCGCCCGCATCCTCCCCTCCTTTTTCCTTTTCCTTTGCCCGCGCACTCCAAAGTCCAAGACTGCGGGCGCAGCGCAAGGCGGAGCCCTCGCGACGCGCGCGAGGACGCCTTCGGTGGAGCCTGTATGGGGCCACGAAAAGTGTGAGGGGTGTGCCGAAATGGGTGTGCGGGACGCGTGCGGGAACATCCACTGGGACCTTCGGTGGGGCTCCCTATGGGGCTACGAAACGTGTGAGGGGTGTACCGAAATGGGTGTGCGGGACGCATGCGGGCACACCCATTGGGACCTTCGGTGGAGCTCCCTATGGGGCCGCGAAGCGTGTGAGGGGTGTACCGACATGGGCGTGCGGGACGCATGCGGGCACACCCACTGGGACCTTCAGTGGAGCTCCCTATGGGGCCACGAAGCGTGTGATGGGGTGTACCGAAATGGGTGTGCGGGACGCATGCGGGCACATCCACTGGGATCTTCGGTGGAGCTCCCAATGGTGCCACGAAACGTGTGAGGGGTGTACCGAAATGGGTGTGCGGGACGCATGCGGGCACACCCATTGGGACCTTCGGTGGAGCTCCCTATGGGGCCACGAAGCGTGTGAGGGGTGTGCCGAAATGTGTGTGCGGGACGCATGCGGGCACACCCACTGGGACCTTCGGTGGGGCTCCCTATAGGGCCACGAAATATATGAAGGGTGTGCCGGAATGGGTGTGCGGGACGCATGCGGGCACACCCACTGGGACCTTCAATGGAGCTCCCTATGGGGCCACGAAGCGTGTGAGGGGTGTACCGACATGGGTGTGCGGGGCGCATGCGGGCACACCCACTGGGACCTTCGGTGGAGCTCCCTATGGGGCCATGAAACGTGTGAGTGGTGTGCCGAAATGGGTGTGCGGACGAGGAGGGGGAGGAGGCAGCGGGAGGAAGGAGGGAGGGACGCGGGGCGCTCTCTCTTCAAAACGAGGACCCAACACCACAGGATGGTTGGGAACAAAAACAACAACAACACCACCACCAACAACAACAACAGCAACAACAGCAACAACAACAACAATAACAACAACAACAACAACAACAGCAACAACAACACCAACAACAGCAACAGCGACAACAACAACACCAACAACACCAACAACAACAACCACCACGACAACACCAACAACAACACCAACAACAACAGCACCAGCAACAACAACAGCAGCAGCAGCGACAACCACAACAGCAACAGCAACAGCAACAGCAACAACATCAACAATAACACAATCAACAGCAATAACAACAATCACAGCAACAACATCAACGACGACAACAACAATAACAGTCAGTTTGAGACTGTTCGCCCTTATCTGCTCGAGTTTCCAATAACGCGTATTTCCCAAACCCTCGATACCCGCCCTCTTCGTCTTCGATCGAACCCCTTTCGGGGGGTATACCTTTCTTCCCTGCAGGCTGGGCCCCGGCAAGAGGCGGGGCGGCCGCGGACCGTCGGCCTGGCCAGCGGCAGCGCTGATCGGCGGGGCGGCCGCGGACCGTCGACCCGACCCCAAGAGGCACGGACAGGGGACCGACCACGACGACGGCGGCGACGTCGACGACGACGGCGACGACGACGAGCGTAAGCGAGAGCGAGAGAGAACGACAGCAGGGCCACGAAGGACACGAAGTAGGCCACGAAGGGCGACAGCGGGGACATGAAGGGAATGCGTATGGGGCCACGAAGAGCGCGAAGGAACGGGGGCCACGAAGGGCAGATAATGCCGGGCCACAGAAGGCAACGATGTGCCCACTGAGGGTAGCAACTGGTCCAAGTAGGACAGCGAGGGGGCCACAAACGGCGACAGCGGGGCCACGAAGGGCATGCACATGGGGCCACAACGGGCGCGGACGAGCGGGGGCCACGAAGGGCATACGTATGTTGGGCCGCGGAAGGCAAGGACGGGGCCACTGAGGGCAGCAACGGGGCCACGAAGGACAGCAAGGGGGCCACGAAGGGCGACAGCGGCCACGAAGGGCATGCATATGGGGCCACCACGGGCACGAACGAGCGGGGGCCACGAAGGGCATGCATACATGGGGCCACGAAGGGCAGCGAGGGGGCCAGGAAGGGCTGCAACGGGGCCACGAAGAGGAGCGAGGGGGCCACGAAGGGCTGCAATGGGGCCACGAAGGGCTGCAACAGGGCCACGAAGGGCAGCCAGGGGGCCCCGAAGGGCTGCAACGGGGCCACGAAACAAAGCGAGGGGGCCACGACGGGCTGCAACGGGGCCACGAAACAAAGCGAGGAGGCCACGAGGGGCTGCAACGGGGCCACGAAACAAAGCGAGGGGGCCCCGAAGGGCTGCAACGGGGCCACGAAACAAAGCGAGGGGGGCACGAAGGGCTGCAACGAGGCCACGAAGGGTAGCGAGATCCCGATTCCTAGGTAGTATGTGAAGGAGTCCTAAGCGTGAGCGCGACTCCTGGGTGCCTGGCAAGGGCGCTATTCGGCAGTAAATTGAAAGCAAGTCTCCAGCGAGAGCGCGAAATCAGAGCGCCGGGAGAGCGATTCCGAAATAAATTGTAAGGAAGTTCCAAGCGAGAGCGCGATTCCTAAATAAAATGCGAGGAAGTCTTCGGCGGAAGCGGGGGTCCTGGCTAAATTGTAAGGAAGTCTCAAGCGGGAGCCGTTGTTATTGTAACCCGGGGGGCCAGGGGCACAGTTTGAGCATCAAGACTTTCCTTGTCAAAAAACCAAGTGCGAGCGTCGAGGGGCACACTTTGATTTAGAAAAAACAATCTGCACCGGTGGGGGGGATCAACAATCCGCCGGCCCCCCTCTGGGGTCACTAGGCTGTAGGCCGGGAGTTCGCAGTTTCCTGTGCCAGTTGCAACTTCCAGTTTCCACTGTTACAATTCTGTGTTTTTTGCTGCTTACTGTTACTTGTTGACTTATTGCTGCTTACTGTTCCTTGTTGATGAACCGCGCGAGGGGGGAGCCCCAAAACAGGCATTTTTACCACGGAAAAATCGTATGCTCTGAATTGCTGGGGTGGGTAAAATTTAATACCCCTCACGCAGATCGGCGGGGTCAGGGTCCAAAAACACATCGGTCGGATTTGCATCATTTTTTCAATTGACTGCACCCCTCGCGCAGATCGGCGGGGTCAGGGTCCAAAAACACAAGGGATTTGCTACATTTCTAAAATCCGGTGGCACCCCTCATACAGATCGGCGGGGCCAGGGTGCAAAAACACAAAGAATTTGCAACTTTTCTGAAATTCGGTGGGACCACTCACGAAGATCGGCGGGGTCCGGGTACAAAAACAAAAAGGACTTGCCACATGTTTAAAAATGTCCTGGAACCCCTCGCGCAGATCCGTAGTGTCAGGGTCTGTAAACACACGGGATTTGCCACATGTCTAAGAATCGGTGGCACCCCTCACGCAGATCGGCAGGGTCAGGGTCCAAAAGCACATAGGATTTGCCACATTTCTGAAATTCGGTGGCACCCCTCACGCAGATCGGCGGTGTCAGTGTCCAAAAACATAGGGGATTTGCCACGTGTCTGAAATCCGGTGGCACCCCTCACGCAAATCGGCAGGGTCAGGGTCCAAAAACACAAAGGATTTGCAACATCTCTGAAATTCGGCGGCACCCCATCACGCAGATCGGCAGGGTCAGGGTCCAAAAACACAAAGGATTTGCTACATTTCTAAAATCCGGTGGCACCCCTCACGCAGATCCGTAGGGTCAGGGTCCGTAAACACACGGGATTCGCCAGTTCTGAAATTCGGCGGCACCCCTCACGCAGATCCGTAGGGTCAGGGTCGAAAAACAAACAGGTCCCGACACTGCTCCACAGCGAAGCCAAAGCCGCCCATTCTCCGAGAGAGGGGGCCAGCGGCAGGGGGGGAAGCCCTTACGGATAATTATTCTTCAAAAATGAGAGCTCAACATCAACAACAACACCACCAGCAACACTCACAACAACAGCAACAACAACACCAACCGTTTTAAGACGGTTCGTCCTTATCTTCTCGCGTGCCACTTAACACATACATATATATATATACATGTGTATATATATATATATATATATATATATATATATCACAATCTCGACACCCGCCGTCTGCGTCTCCGATCATACCCGCCCCTTGGGTGCATATATCTATGTCTATATATATATGGATCTGTATATACACGGGGGGTACTATAGTGTTGACCATAAGACGTCATGCTCTCGACGCCCCCTGCCCCCCCGTAGAATCTTAGCGACATGTTTTGGGTCGGGCGGCGGTTCGACTCCGCTGGGCTCTCACCCTGTAAGAATAATATATATATATATAAACAAAGTGATAATTACTCCGTCCCATTTAAAATAAGGCCGGAAAACACTCCGACTTGAACCCATTCACAATACACCACTCCGCTTGGGTCACGTTTGATCGTCCGTGTCATCATCCCCGTCGACCCTGTCCTTATCATGCCAACGCGATGTTTCATTGTAGTCCTTGTTGCATTGATGCTGTGAGACCTTGGACATCCTTCTCCAATGCGGTCGCTCTCGGTTCACTGGTTGGCCGTCCCAGAGGGCCCACAAAGGCTCGCGAATCCGCATCAAGGCACCTTTGCATCCTGATCGGCCCTCCGCGGCACGCGTGACCAGCGAGGCAATTCTCATCTTTATGGTCAAAAACTTTAGTACCCCGAAGGGCAACATGGGTTCTCGCCGCCGCCAATCATCATCGCCATCTCCATCATCTTTGCAGCTGCTTTGGCTCAAGACCTTAGCAAGGATTTGCTCTGGTGTTGGTCATGGGGTTGACTGGCGCAGTGCAAGCCCGGAGGGCTTTGGTGAAGTTGCTCCTCACGGGTGCTGCGGCGTACTCGGTTGTGGTTCGCCTCCACAGGGGCTCCCAGGACAGCGAGGTGATCGCAGCCTTTCGAAAGGTGCTCCGCAAGGCGCGCCCGGACAAGGGCGGGGCAGACGAGCACGCGAAGCAGCTGAACGCCGCGAAGGAGCGTTGGGACCAGGCCAAGAAACCGAGGGGCCGCCCGAAACGCGCAGAGCAGCCCGGGGCGCCTGCAGGGGCGGCCGCTGCTGACGCCGCGCCGTGCCGCGTCGTGCCGTGCCGCGCAGTGCCGCGCGGCGCCGTGCCGTGCTATGCCATCCCGTGCCGCGCCGCGCCGCGCCGTGCCGTGCGGCGCCGTGCAGTGCTTGGCCTTGCCGCGCCGTGCCGCGCCGCGCCGTGCCGCGCCGCGCCGCCGTGCGTGCCGCGCCGTGCCGCGCCGCGGCCCCGCGCGGGGCCGCGCGGCGACGCGTCGCCGCCTCGCGGCCCTCTTCATCTCCATTGCCATTGCCGCAGCTTCCCAGGCTCAAGCCTTCCTGCCGCGCGGGCCACTGCGCGCGCGGGAGACGCGCCCCAGATGCCAGTCGTCAGCGAGATGCGGCATCCCAAGGGCTTCAGCTTCCAGCAGGAGCGCAGGATCGTACTTCTCCGCGAGGCCACCCAGAGCGACGGCAGCCACATGGAGTGGTCGGAGATCGCGAAGAAGGTGAAGAACCTCTTGGGCAAGAGGCCACGACCACGACACGTGGCGAACACGTGCCGCCGGGCCACGGCGCGCCGCGGGCCCCTCAAGTACGATTACAAAAAGTGCGGCAAGAAGCCGGACAAGGTGACAAAGGAGGTGGAGCGTTTCTTGGTGAAGAAGCTGAAGGAGTTGCGATGCCGCACCGCATGCACGTCGACTACGTTGCAATTGCTTTTGGCTTCCGAAATGAAAGTCAAGGTTACGGTGCGCTACGTGCGCAAGGTCCTCTCGAAGAAAGGCTTTCGCTGGTTACCCAAGAGGCAGAAGCGGTTATACTCCAAGGATCAGAGGAAAGCCCGCCTGACGTTTGCGAAGAAGGTCCTGAGGATGACTTCGGCGGAGCTGAACACGGCTTTGGCATACGCCATGGACGGCGTCATCCTTGCGATGCCCCCGAAGGACGAGACCGAGCGGATGAACTTCTGCAGGCACGGGGAAGAGTACATGTGGCGAAAGAACACGGAGGCATTCACCCCGAAGCTCTCTGGCGACGACGAGTACGGTGGCCAGGTCCCACTGGCTCGGGCAGTGCCCATGTGGGCCGGCTGCGCCGCGGGCGGGCTGTCCATTGTCGCGTTCCACCCCACGAAGAAGCTCTGCGGCGAGGACTGGGCGAAGATCGTGAACCGGGGCGACCTCGTGAAGGCCGTGAAGTCGGTGAACCCGAAGAGGAAGAAGGGCCCGTGGTCCGTCCTCTGCGACAACGAGTCTTTCTTGCGGGCGAAGGTCAGCAACGCCGCGGTGAAGGCGGCGGGGGTTAAGCTGTGGAAGATGCCAGCAAAGTCCCCTGACTTGAACCCCGCAGAGCGGTGCTGGTCTTGGCTGCGTCGGAAGCTGCGGCTCATGGACTTGGACGACGCCGTGAAGAAGCGGCCCGTGCTGGGGAAGACGGCGTACAGGGCGCGGGTTCGGAGCGTCGTGAAGAGCAAGAAGGCGCAGTCCGTGGGGGCGGCGCAGGCGAAGCTGATGAAGCGCGTCTGCAGGGAAGTGGTGCGCAAGAAGGGCGCGGCCACGGGCTTCTGAGCGGGCCAAGCCCCCGGGCCGTATTGGCGCGTTCACAGGTGGACAACTCATCAGCGTCGGCCGTTTGCCGCGCGGGTGAGCACTCCATCTGCCCTGGCCGTTGGCCGTGCAGGTGAGAAAAATCCGCGCGGGGGTGCTATAGTTTTGACCGTAAGACGTCATGCTCTCGACGCCCCCTGCCCTCCCGTAGAATCTTAGCGACACGTTTTGGGTCGGGCGGCGGTTCGACTCCGATGGGCTCTCACCCTGTAAGAATAATATTATATATATAAATAAAAAACAAGGTGATCATTACTCCGTCCCATTTAAAATAAGGCCGGAAAACACTCCGACTTGAACCCATTCACAGTACACCACTCCGCTTGGGTCACGTTTGATCGTCCGTGTCATCATCCCCATCGACCCTGTCCTTATCATGCCAACGCGATGTTTCATTGTAGTCCTTGTTGCATTGATGCTGTGAGACCTTGGACATCCTTCTCCAATGCGGTCGCTCTCGGTTCACTGGTTGGCCGTCCCAGAGGGCCCACAAAGGCTCGCGAATCCGCATCAAGGCACCTTTGCATCCTGATCGGCCCTCCGCGGCACGCGTGACCAGCGAGGCAATTCTCATCTTTATGGTCAAAAACTTTAGTACCCCGAAGGCAACATGGGTTCTCGCCGCCGCCAATCATCATCGCCATCTCCATCATCTTTGCAGCCGCTTTGGCTCAAGACCTTAGCAAGGATTTGCTCTGCTGTTGGTCATGGGGTTGACTGGCGCAGTGCAAGCCCGGAGGGCTTTGGTGAAGTTGCTCCTCACGGTTGCTGCGGCGTACTCGGTTGTGGTTCGCCTCCACAGGGGCTCCCAGGACAGCGAGGTGATCGCAGCCTTTCGAAAGGTGCTCCGCAAGGCGCGCCCGGACAAGGGCGGGGCAGACGAGCACGCGAAGCAGCTGAACGCCGCGAAGGAGCGTTGGGACCAGGCCAAGAAACCGAGGGGCCGCCCGAAACGCGCAGAGCAGCCCGGGGCGCCTGCAGGGGCGGCCGCTGCTGACGCCGCGCCGTGCCGCGTCGTGCCGTGCCGCGCAGTGCCGTGCGGCGCCGTGCCGTGCTATGCCATCCCGTGCCGCGCCGCGCCGCGCCGTGCCGTGCGGCGCCGTGCCGTGCCGCGCCGCGCCGCGCCGTGCCGTGCGGCGCCGTGCAGTGCTTGGCCTTGCCGCGCCGTGCCGCGCCGCGCCGTGCCGCGCCGCGCCGTGGCGTGCCGCGCAGTGCGCGCCGTGCCGCGCCGCGGCCCCGCGCGGGGCCGCGCGGCGACGCGTCGCCGCCTCGCGGCCCTCTTCATCTCCATTGCCATTGCCGCAGCTTCCCAAGCTCAAGCCTTCCTGCCGCGCGGGCCACTGCGCGCGCGGGAGACGCGCCCCAGATGCCAGTCGTCAGCGAGATGCGGCATCCCAAGGGCTTCAGCTTCCAGCAGGAGCGCAGGATCGTACTTCTCCGCGAGGCCACCCAGAGCGACGGCAGCCACATGGAGTGGTCGGAGATCGCGAAGAAGGTGAAGAACCTCTTGGGCAAGAGGCCACGACCACGACACGTGGCGAACACGTGCCGCCGGGCCACGGCGCGCCGCGGGCCCCTCAAGTACGATTACAAAAAGTGCGGCAAGAAGCCGGACAAGGTGACAAAGGAGGTGGAGCGTTTCTTGGTGAAGAAGCTGAAGGAGTTGCGATGCCGCACCGCATGCACGTCGACTACGTTGCAATTGCTTTTGGCTTCCGAAATGAAAGTCAAGGTTACGGTGCGCTACGTGCGCAAGGTCCTCTCGAAGAAAGGCTTTCGCTGGTTACCCAAGAGGCAGAAGCGGTTATACTCCAAGGATCAGAGGAAAGCCCGCCTGACGTTTGCGAAGAAGGTCCTGAGGATGACTTCGGCGGAGCTGAACACGGCTTTGGCATGCGCCATGGACGGCGTCATCCTTGGATGCCCCCGAAGGACGAGACCGAGCGGATGAACTTCTGCAGGCACGGGGAAGAGTACATGTGGCGAAAGAACACGGAGGCATTCACCCCGAAGCTCTCTGGCGACGACGAGTACGGTGGCCAGGTCCCACTGGCTCGGGCAGTGCCCATGTGGGCCGGCTGCGCCGCGGGCGGGCTGTCCATTGTCGCGTTCCACCCCACGAAGAAGCTCTGCGGCGAGGACTGGGCGAAGATCGTGAACCGGGGCGACCTCGTGAAGGCCGTGAAGTCGGTGAACCCGAAGAGGAAGAAGGGCCCGTGGTCCGTCCTCTGCGACAACGAGTCTTTCTTGCGGGCGAAGGTCAGCAACGCCGCGGTCAAGGCGGCGGGGGTTAAGCTGTGGAAGATGCCAGCAAAGTCCCCTGACTTGAACCCCGCAGAGCGGTGCTGGTCTTGGCTGCGTCGGAAGCTGCGGCTCATGGACTTGGACGACGCCGTGAAGAAGCGGCCCGTGCTGGGGAAGACGGCGTACAGGGCGCGGGTTCGGAGCGTCGTGAAGAGCAAGAAGGCACAGTCCGTGGGGGCGGCGCAGGCGAAGCTGATGAAGCGCGTCTGCAGGGAAGTGGTGCGCAAGAAGGGCGCGGCCACGGGCTTCTGAGCGGGCCAAGCCCCCGGGCCGTATTGGCGCGTTCACAGGTGGACAACTCATCAGCGTCGGCCGTTTGCCGCGCGGGTGAGCACTCCATCTGCCCTGGCCGTTGGCCGTGCAGGTGAGAAAAGTCCGCGCGGGGGGTACTATAGTTTTGACCATAAGACGTCATGCTCTCGACGCCCCCTGCCCCCCCCGTAGAATCTTAGCGACATGTTTTGGGTCGGGCGGCGGTTCGACTCCGATGGGCTCTCACCCTGTAAGAATATAATAATATATATATATAAAACAGGGTGATAATTACTCCGTCCCATTTAAAATAGGGCCGGAAAACACTCCGACTTGAACCCATTCACAGTACACCACTCCGCTTGGGTCACGTTTGATCGTCCGTGTCATCATCCCCATCGACCCTGTCCTTATCATGCCAACGCGATGTTTCATTGTATTCCTTGTTGCATTGATGCTGTGAGACCCTGGGCATCCTTCTCCAATGCGGTCGCTCTCGGTTCACTGGTTGGCCGTCCCAGAGGGCCCACAAAGGCTCGCGAATCCGCATCAAGGCACCTTTGCATCCTGATCGGTCCTCCGCGGCACGCGTGACCAGCGAGGCAATTCTCATCTTATGGTCAAAAACTTTAGTACCCCCGAAGGGCAACATGGGTTCTCGCCGCCGCCAATCATCATCGTCATCTCCATCATCTTTGCAGCCGCTTTGGCTCAAGACCTTAGCAAGGATTTGCTCTGCTGTTGGTCATGGGGTTGACTGGCGCAGTGCAAGCCCGGAGGGCTTTGGTGAAGTTGCTCCTCACGGTTGCTGCGGCGTACTCGGTTGTGGTTCGCCTCCACAGGGACTCCCAGGACAGCGAGGTGATCGCAGCCTTTCGAAAGGTGCTCCGCAAGGCGCACCCGGACAAGGGCGGGGCAGACGAGCACGCGAAGCAGCTGAACGCCGCGAAGGAGTGCTGGGACCAGGCCAAGAAACCGAGGGGCCGCCCGAAACGCGCAGAGCAGCCCGAGGCGCCTGCAGGGGCGGCCGCTGCTGACGGCGCGCCTGGCGAAACCTTCCAGGATCTGATCGTCCGGGAGGTCTCCATGAAAGCCTACCGCATCCAGTCCGCGGGTGTGCTGCTCACGTACTTCGGGGTGCAGGGCCTGCCGCAGTGGCAGCAATTTCTGGCGCACGTGCGCTCGAAGCAGAAGGCTTGGAAGGTGCGGTACTGGTGCGCGACGCTGGAGCGGACGAAGACGGGGCGTCTGCACGTCCACCTCATGCTGCAGTTCGCCGCGCCCGCAGCTTCGCCGTGCGGCCCGCCGTGGCAGGCTGCTTGGCTGGGCTAAGTTGGGCACGGTCGGGGCCGGCAGTGCCGGGCGGCGACGAGCCCGCCGTGCACGCCGGCCGCAGCTTGTGGCGTGGCGTGCCGAACGCAGTGACCGCAGCAGTGCCGCTCCGCCGTGCCGCGCCGCGGCCCCGCGCGGCGGCCAGCCGTACGGCGAGCGCGTCGCCGCCTAAGGGCGCCAGGCCCCGGCGCGCCCACAGGTGGACAACTTCATCTCCATTCGCCATTGCCGCAAGCTTTTCCCAGGCGATCCGAAGCCTTCCTGCCGCGCGGGCCACTCCAAGGCGCGCGCGGGAGACGCGTTCCAGTTCCAGAGGAACCAGTCGTCAGCGCAGATGCGGCATCCGCAATGGCGCTTCAGCTTCCAGGTCAGGAGGGCGCTCAGGATCGTACTTCTCCGCGCAGGCCAGAAGCCCGAGAGCGACGTGCAGCCACGTGGAGTGGTGCGGATGCAGTCGCGCGGCGTGCGCCGCGCCGTGCCGCGTCGTGCCGTGCCGCGCAGTGCCGTGCGGCGCCGTGCCGCGCTATGCCATCCCGTGCCGCGCCGCGCCGCGCCGTGCCGTGCGGCGCCGTGCAGTGCTTGGCCTTGCCGCGCCGTGCCGCGCCGCGCCGTGCCGCGCCGCGCCGTGGCGTGCCGCGCCGTGCCGCGGCCCGCGCGGGGCCGCGCGCGACGCGTCGCCGCCTCGCGGCCTCTTCAATCTCCTTGCCATTGCCGCAGCTTCCCAGGCCAGCCTCCTGCCGCGCGGGCCACTGCGCGCGCGGGAGACGCGCCCCAGATGCCAGTCGTCAGCGAGATGCGGCATCCCAAGGGCTTCAGCTTCTAGCAGGAGCGCAGGATCGCACTTCTCCGCGAGGCCACCCAGAGCGACGGCAGCCACATGGAGTGGTCGGAGATCGCGAAGAAGGTGAAGAACCTCTTGGGCAAGAGGCCACGACCACGACACGTGGCGAACACGTACCGCCGGGCCACGGCGCGCCGCGGGCCCCTCAAGTACGATTACAAAAAGTGCGGCAAGAAGCCGGACAAGGTGACAAAGGAGGTGGAGCGTTTCTTGGTGAAGAAGCTGAAGGAGTTGCGATGCCGCACCGCATGCACGTCGACTACGTTGCAATTGCTTTTGGCTTCCGAAATGAAAGTCAAGGTTACGGTGCGCTACGTGCGCAAGGTCCTCTCGAAGAAAGGCTTTCGCTGGTTACCCAAGAGGCAGAAGCGGTTATATTCCAAGGATCAGAGGAAAGCCCGCCTGACGTTTGCGAAGAAGGTCCTGAGGATGACTTCGGCGGAGCTGAACACGGCTTTGGCATGCGCCATGGACGGCGTCATCCTTGCGATGCCCCCGAAGGACGAGACCGAGCGGATGAACTTCTGCAGGCACGGGGAAGAGTACATGTGGCGAAAGAACACGGAGGCATTCACCCCGAAGCTCTCTGGCGACGACGAGTACGGTGGCCAGGTCCCACTGGCTCGGGCAGTGCCCATGTGGGCCGGCTGCGCCGCGGGCGGGCTGTCCATTGTCGCGTTCCACCCCACGAAGAAGCTCTGCGGCGAGGACTGGGCGAAGATCGTGAACCGGGGCGACCTCGTGAAGGCCGTGAAGTCGGTGAACCCGAAGAGGAAGAAGGGCCCGTGGTCCGTCCTCTGCGACAACGAGTCTTTCTTGCGGGCGAAGGTCAGCAACGCCGCGGTCAAGGCGGCGGGGGTTAAGCTGTGGAAGATGCCAGCAAAGTCCCCTGACTTGAACCCCGCAGAGCGGTGCTGGCTTGGCTGCGTCGGAAGCTGCGGCTCATGGACTTGGACGACGCCGTGAAGAAGCGGCCCGTGCTGGGGAAGACGGCGTACAGGGCGCGGGTTCGGAGCGTCGTGAAGAGCAAGAAGGCACAGTCCGTGGGGGCGGCGCAGGCGAAGCTGATGAAGCGCGTCTGCAGGGAAGTGGTGCGCAAGAAGGGCGCGGCCACGGGCTTCTGAGCGGGCCAAGCCCCCGGGCCGTATTGGCGCGTTCACAGGTGGACAACTCATCAGCGTCGGCCGTTTGCCGCGCGGGTGAGCACTCCATCTGCCCTGGCCGTTGGCCGTGCAGGTGAGAAAAGTCCGCACGGGGGGTACTATAGTTTTGACCATAAGACGTCATGCTCTCGACGCCCCCTGCCCCCCCGTAGAATCTTAGCGACATGTTTTGGGTCGGGCGGCGGTTCGACTCCGATGGGCTCTCACCCTGTAAGAATATAATAATATATATTTAAAACAGGGTGATAATTACTCCGTCCCATTTACAATAGGGCCGGAAAACACTCCGACTTGAACCCATTCACAGTAAACCACTCCGCTTGGGTCACGTTTGATCGCCCGTGTCATCATCCCCATCGACCCTGACCTTATCATGCCAACGCGATGTTTCATTGTATTCCTTTTTGCATTGATGCTGTGAGACCCTGGGCATCCTTCTCCAATGCGGTCGCTCTCGGTTCACTGGTTGGCCGTCCCAGAGGGCCCACAAAGGCTCGCGAATCCGCATCAAGGCACCTTTGCATCCTGATCGGTCCTCCGCGGCACGCGTGACCAGCGAGGCAATTGTCATCTTATGGTCAAAAACTTTAGTACCCCCGAAGGGCAAAATGGGTTCTCGCCGCCGCCAATCATCATCGTCATCTCCATCATCTTTGCAGCCGCTTTGGCTCAAGACCTTAGCAAGGATTTGCTCTGCTGTTGGTCATGGGGTTGACTGGCGCAGTGCAAGCCCGGAGGGCTTTGGTGAAGTTGCTCCTCACGGTTGCTGCGGCGTACTCGGTTGTGGTTCGCCTCCACAGGGACTCCCAGGACAGCGAGGTGATCGCAGCCTTTCGAAAGGTGCTCCGCAAGGCGCGCCCGGACAAGGGCGGGGCAGACGAGCACGCGAAGCAGCTGAACGCCGCGAAGGAGGCTTGGGACCAGGCCAAGAAACCGAGGGGCCGCCCGAAACGCGCAGAGCAGCCCGGGGCGCCTGCAGGGGCGGCCGCTGCTGACGGCGCGCCTGGCGAAACCTTCCAGGATCTGATCGTCCGGGAGGTCTCCAAGAAAGCCTACCGCATCCAGTCCGCGGGTGTGCTGCTCACGTACTTCGGGGTGCAGGGCCTGCCGCAGTGGCGGCAGTTTCTGGCGCACGTGCGCTCGAAGCAGAAGGCTTGGAAGGTGCGGTACTGGTGCGCGACGCTGGAGCGGACGAAGACGGGGCGTCTGCACGTCCACCTCATGCTGCAGTCCACGCAACCTGTGGACAGGACGAGCCGCAGCTTCGCCTTCAAGGGGTGGACGGGCCCGAGAGCAGACGCGAACGACTTGCTAGGCGGTGGCTTTTGTCGGAAACGGCTGCAGGGCAGCCTCAACAGGGGCATGTTCTATTGCTGGGCAGATAAGTTGGGCACGGTCAGGGACGAGGAAGGCCGGCAGTGCACGGGCGGCAACTACGAGCCCGCCTGGACGGACGCAGCTTGCACCTACACCGCGAAGAGCCGGTGGGCGCAGGACTTGTGGCAGGCGTACAAGCTCTCGCACGGCACCTACGACGGTTACCTCTACAAGACACGGGACGGGGTCTCAGCGAAAAAAAAAGGACCTTGACGCTTGCAGAGAGCGAGAGGCACGGGACAAGCAGACAGCGGAGATCGAGGCAAGGACCAAGAGGCTCCGCGGGAACAAGGACCTCTTCCCGGGCTTCCCCACGGTGCCCGACGCTGTGGCGTGGCTAGAGCAGTTCTAGGCCCGTTGCGGCGCGCAAGCCAGACAGTACCATTGCCGCCCGCCCTTCTGCGGGCAGCTGCGGCGCCTTCCGGGGCGTCTTCGGCGCGACCGCGGAAGGGGCGGGGGTTAGGGCGTTGTCCAGAGTCTGCGCCGGCGCGCCCACAGGTGGACAACTCACGGTACCCAGTCTTGGTGGTCCTCGGCAGGTCGCACACAGGGAAGACGGAATGGCCCAGACCTTGTTCCAGAACCCTGTGGTGGTGAAGGTGGGCAAGCTCGAACATTTCCCAGAGTCGATGAGGGCCTTCGACAGGGAGAAGCACGACGGGCTGGTCCTCGACGACCTGAGGGACATGCAGTTCTTGGTGGACCACCAGGACAAGGTCCAAGGCAAGTACAACTCGCCCGTCGAATTTGCTTCCACTCCGGGCGGCGAGTTGGCTTACTGGAAGGACTTGTTCGCAGTTCCCGTGGTCGCCACCTGCATCTACACCACGAAGAACCTCGGGTTCCTGGACACCGACGACTTCTTGGCGAACCCAGGGAACCGCACGCTGGTGCACTTCCCGCCTAACACGCAGCCAGACCAGCCACCGCCCGCACCTCCACCCGCACCGACCCGGAGCCTTAGGTACCGCACTAAGGCGCCGCCGCACCAGCCGCCAACCGCGCTTTGACTCTCAGGGGTTGCACGAGAGAAAAGGCTTGCGCACCAGGTCGACTCCTGGATTTCTGGGCACAGTTGTGGGGGGGGCTCATGTTCTAGGAGGAACTTTGTTCGTCTGTAGGCACAACCCGCCTGGTGAGAGAGGTGCCCGAAAATCGTATTTTTCCCGTAGGAAAACTGCTATTCTACGTATGGGGGCTGATGCAGAAGCAGAGTGCGAGCGACGTCCAGTGATACAATTCCGTGGACTGTGCCGCGCCGTGCCGCGCCGTGCCGTGCCGTGCCGTGCAGGTTCGTGCTGCGACGTGCCGTGCCGTGCCGTGCCGCGCCGTGCCGCGCGGCGCCGTGCCGTGCCGTGCCGTGCCGTGCCGTGCCGTGCCGTGCCGTGCCGTGCCGTTACGCGCGGCGCCGCGCCGCGCCGCGTGCCGGGCCGCGCTGCGCCGTGCCTTGCGAGTGCCGCGCGGCGTCGCGCCGCGCCGTGCCGCGTCGTGCCGTGCCGCGCCGTGCCGTGCGGCGCCGCGCCGCGCTATGCCATCCCGTGCCGCGCCGCGCCGCGCCGTGCCGTGCGGCGCCGTGCAGTGCTTGGCCTTGCCGCGCCGTGCCGCGCCGCGCCGTGCCGCGCCGCGCCGTGGCGTGCCGCGCAGTGCCGCGCCGTGCCGCGCCGCGGCCCCGCGCGGGGCCGCGCGGCGACGCGTCGCCGCCTCGCGGCCCTCTGCGTCTCCATTGCCATTGCCGCAGCTTCCCAGGCTCAAGCCTTCCTGCCGCGCGGGCCACTGCGCGCGCGGGAGACGGGCCCCAGATGCCGGTCGTCAGCGAGATGCGGCATCCCAAGGGCTTCAGTTTCCAGCAGGAGCGCAGGATCGTACTTCTCCGCGAGGCCACCCAGAGCGACGGCAGCCACGTGGAGTGGTCGGAGATCGCGAAGAAGGTGAAGAACCTCTTGGGCAAGAGGCCACGACTACGACACGTGGCGAACACGTGCCGCCGGGCCACGGCGCGCCGCAGGCCCCTCAAGTACGATTACAAAAAGTGCGGCAAGAAGCCGGACAAGGTGACAGAGGAGGTGGAGCGTTTCTTGGTGAAGAAGCTGAAGGAGTTGCGATGCCGCACCGCATGCACGTCGACTACGTTGCAATTTCTTTTGGCTTCCGAAATGAAAGTCAAGGTTACGGTGCGCTACGTGCGCAAGGTCCTCTCGAAGAAAGGCTTTCGCTGGTTACCCAAGAGGCAGAAGTGGTTATACTCCAAGGATCAGAGGAAAGCCCGCCTGACGTTTGCGAAGAAGGTCCTGAGGATGACTTCGGCGGAGCTGAACACGGCTTTGGCATGCGCCATGGACGGCGTCATCCTTGCGATGCCCCCGAAGGACGATACCGAGCGGATGAACTTCTGCAGGCACGGGGAAGAGTACATGTGGCGAAAGAACACGGAGGCATTCACCCCGAAGCTCTCTGGCGACGACGAGTACGGTGGCCAGGCCCCACTGGTTCGGGCAGTGCCCATGTGGGCCGGCTGCGCCGCGGGCGGGCTGTCCATTGTCGCGTTCCACCCCACGAAGAAGCTCTGCGGCGAGGACTGGGCGAAGATCGTGAACCGGGGCGACCTCGTGAAGGCCGTGAAGTCGGTGAACCCGAAGAGGAAGAAGGGCCCGTGGTCCGTCCCCTGCGACAACGAGTCTTTCTTGCGGGCGAAGGTCAGCAACGCCGCGGTCAAGGCGGCGGGGGTTAAGCTGTGGAAGATGCCAACAAAGTCCCCTGACTTGAACCCCGCAGAGCGGTGCTGGCCTTGGCTGCGTCGGAAGCTGCGGCTCATGGACTTGGACGACGCCGTGAAGAAGCGGCCCGTGCTGGGGAAGACGGCGTACAGGGCGCGGGTTCGGAGCGTCGTGAAGAGCCAGAAGGCACAGTCCGTGGGGGCGGCGCAGGCGAAGCTGATGAAGCGCGTCTGCAGGGAAGTGGCGCGCAAGAAGGGCGCGGCCACGGGCTTCTGAGCGGGCCAAGCCCCCGGGCCGTATTGGCGCGTTCACAGGTGGACAACTCATCAGCGTCGGCCGTTTGCCGCGCGGGTGAGCACTCCATCTGCCCTGGCCGTTGGCCGTGCAGGTGAGAAAAGTCCGCACGGGGGTACTATAGTTTTGACCATAAGACGTCATGCTCTCGACGCCCCCTGCCCCCCCGTAGAATCTTAGCGACATGTTTTGGGTCGGGCGGCGGTTCGACTCCGATGGGCTCTCACCCTGTAAGAATATAATAATATATATTTAAGACAGGGTGATAATTACTCCGTCCCATTTAAAATAGGGCCGGAAAACACTCCGACTTGAACCCATTCACAGTAAACCACTCCGCTTGAGTCACGTTTGATCGTCCGTGTCATCATCCCCATCGACCCTGTCCTTATCATGCCAACGCGATGTTTCATTGTATTCCTTGTTGCATTGATGCTGTGAGACCATGGGCATCCTTCTCCAATGCGGTCGCTCTCGGTTCACTGGTTGGCCGTCCCAGAGGGCCCACAAAGGCTTGAGCAACTTCCCAAGGCAACCTTTGCATCCTTTCGGTTCCTATCCGCGGCACCGTGAACCAGCGAGGCAATTGTCATCTTATGGTCAAACTTTAGTATCCCCCGAAGTAATTCGTATTCGCATTCGTATTCGCATTCGTATTCGTATTCGAATTCGTATTCGTATTCGTATTCGTATTCGTATTCGTATTCGTATTCGTATTCGTATTCGAATTCGTATTCGTATTCGTATTCGTATTCGTATTCGTATTCGTATTCGAATTCGTATTCGTATTCGTATTCGTATTCGTATTCGTATTCGTATTCGTATTCGTATTCGTATTCGTATTCGTATTCGTATTCGTATTCGTATTCGTAGTCTTATTCGTATTTGCATTCGTATTCACATTTGAACTCTCATTTGTATTCGTATTCGCATTCGTATTCGCATTCGTATCCGTAGTTGTATCCGTGGTGGTAGTAGCAGTAGTAGTCGCCGTACTAGCAGTAGTAGTAGTAGTAGTAGTAGTAGTAGTAGTAATAGTAGATAACAAGTAGTAGAAGTAGTAGTAGTAGTAGA